AGCAGTTGCTTGTTACACTAGGGTTTTGTTGCCATCAAATTAGTTTTGTAATTTCGTAGCTAGTTTTCATCTTGGTTGCAGAACATCTGAGAACATCTTTGGCAGAGAGACGCCGGGATGCAGAGCCGTGTTGAGGATGTGATGGCGCTGCTCCGCTACACTGCCGCAGCCAAGTGCATGGAAGCTGCTGTCACTCATTCTCGCCGAGGAGCAATGCTGGCAGGCGGAGGTGCCTTTTTGGGGGGGCTGCTGGGAGGCCCGCCTGGAATTTTTGTAGGTAAGCATGCTTTGTTTCGGAACAAGAGGGTGGATAAATCCCGGAGTGAAGAAATGCAGAGGTGTGGGTTGAAGAGAAGGAGCATTCAGTGTTGAGATTTTCTGCTATGATGGGGGCTGAGGGTGGATAAGCCTTAGCAATGGGGCAGGATAATTTCTCACTAAAATTGATGCTTATTTATGTATTTTAAAAGTCCCTGATATCCATGTCATGATGAACATGGATTTTTTTTTTTTTCTGCTGGGATTCATTATTCCATGTCACTTTGCTTTTCTTCTTGTTGCAGAAAGTTACAGAAAAGCCTAATTCTAGTAGTAAAGGATTGTTTCTCCTCTGTAACTCTGGAATTAAGAATTGTCTAGTTTGAAAGCTGCCTTGCTGCTGAAGGCATGTGGGCCCTGGCCCATGGATGTTGAGCAGTTGGATGTCCTGTGAGCAGTTGCAGGAATTTCACAGGCTTCCTGATTTGGGAGCAAATTGCAGTGTGCCTCTGTCAGGTTGAGTTACAAAAACAAGCAAATAATTTGTGAGGAGGGATAACAGAAAATGCAAAGTGGAGCTGTGTATTTACTCCTGTTACAGGTAGAGAACTTAATGAATAGCCAGAATGTTGACAAATAGATGACTGAGGTTATCAGGAACAAAGAAAGGAAATTAAGCTTTTCTAAGAAATTTGTAAGCTGAAAATCTGAAGTGAAGGTAATAATGTAAGTGGCCTCATTCTTGAGTGAGAGATGAAGAGAAATACTGAAGTTATTAATGGATGTGTTTTCCCTTTTAAGTGTTTGTTTAAGCTTTCATAGTGTCTCCCATTCAAGCTTGATGTTCTTCAGCCACTGCGTAAGGAAGGCACTGGAACAAGTATACCTATTACTTCACAGGGAAAGGATACAATCATAAGCATCTGTAATAAGAGTAACAAATCCTGTCTAAACTAAAAGCCATGACTCAATTACAGTGCAGCTAAATCATAGCCCTCTCATTTAACTTTCAAAATTGGAGAGGTAAATAAGCCAAGTAAGTTTAGGGCAGTTAGAGAGACATTTACAATCAAGGGCCCCTTCACTTGCTCAAACAGCCTGGATAGGTGTGGGACTGGTGGCAGGGGTTGTCCCTCTTGCTGCTTTGCACCAGGGATGAGGATGAGTTACCTGCCACGTGCAGCATTGCTGGAGCAGCTTGCAGTCATCATGCTTCCCAAGGACTGGCTGCTCTGAGCAGAGTGGGCTGTGGGTTTGTTGCTTGGGGGAGAAAGTGTGATCGTGTAGCGAGTCTTGGTCTCAATGGGCAGGGAGCTTAGACATCAGTACTTCCAGTGGCTTTTGCATTAAGTGCCCCTAAATCAGTT